ATCCAATTCAGTATTTACTTACGTAGATAACTTAGTATTATTATTATCTATGGTATCAAGTAGTATTTAATTTTACCCGTTTAGTATTTGTTTCATCATCATCATCATCATTTCAGCCACAGGACGTCCACTGCTGAACATAGGCCTCCCCCAATGACTTCCACATCGCACGGTTGGTAGCGACCTGCGTCCAGCGCCTTCCTGCTACCTTTTCAGGTCGTCGGTCCACCCCACGGGTGGACATCCCACGCTGCGTTTTCCGGTATTATTTATTTACCCTATTTATTAAAATCGTATATTTGTTTATTTACCCTTTTTTGCAAAGTACCTAGCAGCCAGCGTCTTTATTTCCTGAAATTACTTATTCTTGCCTATTCCTCCAAGAAGTAGGTAAAATACACACATCTGACCTATCTCAATAAACGAATCAATGAATGACATCAGTATTCAAATGATTGAAATAAATTGTAGAACCTACGTCAACACGTTCCTTAGAATTGCAAAAACATAAGATCTAGAGAATTGTCTAGTCTGTTTCTTTCTGATGGGAGAATTGTGCCAAGGTCTCAGACAGAGTGGCGACCGAAAGTATAGTTTTTAGAAATTATCTAGGTTAATCCTGTAAAAGTGATGGCCGCTGTCTGGAACACGGATGTCATGGATATCCGTACCCGAAACTTTCGGATATCCGAAATAAATAAAAAATCCGAAACCGAAACCGTAACCGATTCAAATGTTTCGGATAGTTTCGGATGTAGGCAGTTTAAATTGTTTTTTGTATAGCATTCCTACGTATTCATACGTGAATGAACCGTGTCGGATAACTTTTGCAAATTGCATTCTAAAGCACAGATATCCGTAACCGTAACCGAAACTTTCGGATATCCGAAATAAAAAAAACATCCGTAACTGTAACCGAAACCGGTAAAATATTATTCATATATCCGTAACCGTATCCATAACCGAAACTACATATTATCCATAACATCCCTATAGTAGAACTAATGGCCGCTGGGGCAGAAAAGTTCTCTAGTGGCGACCACGGGCTGGAAGTCGATGTCTATATCCTACACAAGGAGGACAGACGACCTCATAAAGGAAGGCGCCGGATGTAGGCAGTTAAAAACGAATGAGGGTTTTCGCGTATGAAAAATCCGCCAGATGGCAATACGTAGACGCGAGGTCCAAATGCTGCATGATTGGTTATTTTTGACATGAAATTGACAGATATGTCAAAATCCACCAATCACGCAGCAGTCAGACCCCACATCCACGTCCCGCCATCTAGCGGATTTTGGCCTGCCCACACTACGTCTTCCGGCTCGTGGTCGCCACTCAAGAACTTTCCTGCCCCAGCGGCCATCAGGCCTTAGTGGGGCAGTAGTAGCTCTACTAGGGGCGCTGTGTCATACATAGGATGTCATTCTAAATGACAATTGAAGTCAGAGTTTGAAAATAAAATAGGGTGTCATCATCATTTCAGCCACAGAACGTCCACTGCTGAACATAGGCCTCCCCCAGTGATTTCCACAATGGCCGGTTGGTGGCGGCTTGCATCCAGCGCCTTCCCGCTACCTTTATGAGGTCGTCGGTTCATCTTGTGGATGGACGTTCTACGCTGCGCTTTCCGCAATAGGGTGTAATAATAAGGGGATTAATGTAATTTTTTACGCACTCCATATCGAATACGTGCGGCAAATCCCGTATAAGAATACTTGTTACTTATTCAATATTTATTATTCAGGGCCAAAACCACGTGCGATGCTGTTTCTCTTTAAAATCTATTTTTATCTTTCAGTACTTACACGCGATGGTTGCGGTGGATTGATTCGAAGAAGTCACGGGTTCGATTCCGGGAAGAGTTTGGATGCTGAATTTATATTGTAATGGCGAATGTATGATATAAGTTTTATTTATAGAATTTAAAAAGATAGCATGAAGGCGCTGGATGCAGGCCGCTACGTAACGGGCGATGTGGAAGTCATTGGAGGAGGCCTATGTTATGTTCAGCTGTGGCTGAAATGATGATGATGATAAAGAATTTGAATTCTCATAGCCAATTTTTATATTCATAAAAAACTCATTTATTTTTGGAAATAGGCTTTTAAAAAGCACTTTTACCCGTCCCAGTACCTATTAACCCTACCACTGCTTCGGGACAATAAATGGGCCAGTGCTGAGAAGAAGCAGCGCAAGAAACTCAGTCACTATTGGCTGTATGCATAGCTCAATAGTCGCTGAATTCGTTTGGCAAGCGAGGGTTGGTTCGATCTCAACCAAAGACAGTCAATTGGATCATGTGAAAAAAAAGTTTGAGATATTAATGCCCGTTTTCACCATCAATCCCTAATTTTTAAGTGACCCCTATGGTAAAACATATCAGGAATTTGTTTTCATAGGGGTCACTTAAAAATTATGGATTGATGGTGAAAACGGGCATTAGTCTAAGGTTCAAGTCTTATCAGAAACATTATATTAATTCAAGTGGAAAATAAATATACTAGCTTCTGCCCCTGACTTCGACGCCTGAATTTCGGTTAGGCTTCTGTGTCTATAAAATTCATAGTGAATAGGCTTTTACAAAGCGCTTTTACACGTTCCAGTATAGCACCCAGTAGAGAAATCCAAGAAAGAGGTCTATTCCACTTTTATCACCTGGCTTTGATCACCCAGATGATCAAAGTGGAATAGACCAAGAGAGAGCCCGTGAACCCCAGGCCTTCGTTATTTTATAAAAGCTGAAAGTTTGTCAGCTCATGATTCTAACGTAGCTCGTAGGTAAGAACGTTGGTGCATCATGAAGTTTCGGTCACTGTGACTCCTTCTTCTAAAAAACAGTTCGTTCCTTTCCCAACTCCTGTGTAGCCAGGATCTACAGCTTGACCGCCAACCCAACCAGTGAAGGTCAAGTTTGTTTCGGGGAAAAGTTCATTCATTGGACACGCAATGAAATTAATAAGAACATAGGAGAAGTTCGAAGCTTTCGTGCTTCATCTAAATGTATTCTGTCACAAAAACTCCCCCTTTCGCATAATGACTTCCTGTAGGAGATAATAAATGCGGATTTTATTTATAAAGACATCTGCCGATTTCAATACGAAGTAAACAATAAAATTATTCACGAACTAGCTGTGCCCGCGACTTCGTACGCGTGATAAATTGTTTCAATAATATTTCCCGTTTTTGCAACATTTTCCTTTAGCCTAAAGCCGTCCTTGATAAATGGGCTATCTAACACAAAAAGATTTTTCAAATCGGACCAGTAATTCGTTCAATAGTGACTGAGTTACTTGGACCGCTTCTTCTCAGCACTGGCCCATTTATTGTCCCGAAGCAGTGGTAGGGTTAATATTGGGATGTGCAAAAGTGCTTTTTAACAGCTTATTTGCAAAAATAAATGAGTTTTAGCGCGGTGAAGAAAACAAACTGTTCAGCTTTATAATATGAGTTTATATTGTTATTCAGTATCGATCTGGTATTTACATTTTTTGTTTCTTTCTTTCATTGACACTGGCTGAGGTTTACAGTTACAGTCTTGGTGTCTCAGTCCAAAAGTCCCAGGTTTTAATCCCAGTAGAGCCAAAACTTTCTGCTAAGTTTGGTTGAGCTATGTTTTAAGTCTGCCTACCTAGCTACTGTTTAAGGACGAAGCACACTTATCAACCTGGAAACGGATCATAAGTCGTAACCGTATCAACTCGAGGCGGTCAGTATTCTTTGTATAAAACTCCATATTGTAACGCACTATCCGCACCATAACATAAACGCCTCGCTTCGCGGCGAAAGGCGATACGGTGTCTATCCCTTTCCGGGTTGATAAGTGTGCTATGACCTTTAACCTAAGTGTCTCGCCATCATCTGTACATCATTTTTGTGTCAGCAGTTGGAGGTACGTAGTGTGTGACGTCCATCCACGAGGTGGACGGACGACCTAAAGGTAGCAGGAAGGCGGTGGATGCAGGCCGCTACCAACCAGTATGCAGTATGGAAATCATTGGGGAAGGCCTATGTTCAGCAGTGGACGTCCTGTGGCTGAAATGATGATGATGATGAGTTGGTAGGATAGCCAAGCCAGTTCCTCTGTGGCTGTTAATTCTCATTGAATCAACTTTGGCTTTGATGCTGTCCCGAATTAATAAGATAATACTGGGACGTGTAAAAGCACTTTTTAAAAAAGCCTGTTTAAAGAAGATAAATTACTTTTATTGCTTTTAATTGCTGGTAGGGCAAACTATATTAAATTTACTTTCAGAAAGAAGGCATAAATATGAAGGCTATAATAGCAATAAAGAAGTTGAATTACAACTACTTTTAATTTCTTTTAATTTACTTTTAATGTACTTTTCAGCGAACTTTCTTAATATTTATTTCCTAATAATTCACTACAATAAAAATGAAACTTGTGTATGTGTGTGTGTTTTTTTCTCAATGTGTGTCTATATTCAGGCACCAGTCTTCACAATACGGGTATATGATATGCCAGGCCAAAGCACCGATTAGCACACTAGCAAATAATGTATCACAGAATGACAAACTATTGAATCTTTCCTATGTGCTGTCGTGTGTACCTAATATCTTGTCAAATATTGTCTCAATACCTAGGCCCATTGTGAAGAAAATAAATATTTTTATTATTATTATTATTATTATTATATGTTAAAGACTGTAAACCGTTGAAAAAGAGGCTGTCATAGTGACTGAGTTGCGCTGCTTCTTCTCAGCACTGGCCCATTTATTGTCCCGAAGCAGTGGTAGGGTTAATACTGGGACGTAAAAAGTGCTTTTTAAAAGCCTACTTGCAAAAATAAAATGAGTTCTATGAATTGAGTTTTTGAATTAGTTTTATAAGTAAGTGTAGGGTTTTTAAAGTAAAAACAAATATTCATTGCAAATATGTATCACTATAATTTCAGAAATCTAGAACAATCACTCATGATCACAAAATAACTATTTCTAAAATACTAAATTATACATTTGGATGTCTTTCAACACTCGCAAAAATAACTAAAATTTCCAAAATTTTTAAAAAAGAATTGGTAATCTATATAATTTAAATATAATTTTTGTCCAAGTCATTCATTTTAAAGACTAAACTATTATTTATATTCCACAGTCATTCTACAGTTTTAAATGAAATACAAAAAAATTAAACCCAATTTTTTCCCAAATTCCTAACTACATTTAAAAACAGAAAAGTAAGTTACTAAAACTATTAAAATGCGAGTTGGTGAAAATAATATGAACGATAAATACAAAAAATAGTCTCACTAGTTAAATGCAATATTCATACACTAACAACAATATGGTTTTTAATTCATTGCTAATAATAATGACTATAACTGGGCTACAACCTAATCTAAATAAACTACGCATTCTAAATCTTAAATTAAAATCGATTATCCAAAGTACAAAGCAGTCGTTTTAAATAATATAATCCAAAAAATCTACACATTTTTTTGAGAAACATCTTTTCCGGTGCTAGATGACAATTAGTGATTTTTTTTTTATAAAAAAAAGAAGTTGTTATTTTTTTTTAATTACCCAACCCGTGCAGCTAAACCTACATTATTTTGAGAAATAAATTAATAATTTGAGCGCATCTTAGCGGCTAACTTGTGTCTCAAAGTCTAAAAATTTAAACTTTCTAAATTTTCTCGCCGCCTATCGAATATTTACACAAAATACTAAATAACTGACTCAGTGTTTCCTAGGCACTAGATAAAGGCTGAAAGTATCTTTAGGTAAAGCAACACAGGCTGGTTTTTGTCTTAGGTCTTCTAGATTTTCCGCTGCGACGTCGAACTCTTGCATGATGCTAGCAAACATAACGAAGCTCATAGTGGTTACTAGAGTTTGTCCAATGCAGGTACGTTTGCCGATACTGAATGGAAGAAAATGTGGGATGTTCTTTCTAACTGACACTACCTCTTTTTCGACCTCTGTAGCCTTATTGATAGGTCCTGATCTCTCTCCATCAGACTCCATACCCGAGTCGCAAAGCGAGTTCCTTCGCACTCGGATTTTGGATTTCTCCAGAAACCTTGATGGGTCGAATTTCTGTGGTTCTTTCCAGTACGTCTCTGAGGTGTTCAGTTCATAGTTGTTGATGAAGACTATCGTGCCTTTCTCGACACCATAACCAGCCACAACCGCGTTTTCTGTTGCAACGTGAGGGACGATTGGAGATGATGCGTATCTGAGGCATTCCAGGACAGTAGCTTCTGTGTACGGCAAGCTGCTTCTATCTGACAGAGTCACTGCTCTCTTTCCTTTGGTAACCCCATCAATTTCTGCCTTTACCTTCTTAGCTACATCAGGATCTCTTGCAACAGCTGCCAAGCAGAGCATAACCAAGTTGCCGACTGAAGAATGACCTCCTAAGAAGTCTTCAAGCATAAAGATGATGGTGTTCCTATCAACCGTAGCGTCATCTTTCAGAACTCTCAACAAACCGTCAAGGAAGTCCTTCTCAGGGCCTTCGGTCTCCAAATTCAACTCTCTCTGTTCGACTATCCTTGACAATATAAACGATCTGATATCCTGACTCCAGCCAGATAGTTTATCCATGTGCTTCTTATACAACGGCTCCAACCAAGGTAGGAAGTCCACGGCGTAACCCTGGTTGATTTCCCAGAAAATCTCATCGAAATGGTCGACGATTTTTCTGAATTCCGGATCGGTTTCTTCGAAGCGAATGTTGCACATGTAGTGGGTAAACATGTTCATTGCTGTCGACATTAAAATCGGTTTCAAATTGATGCTGGATTCGGTGGAGTTGGCCATGGTCTTCAATGTTTGGACCATCTCGATGGCTTCGAATGTAGCGACGGATCCGATCCTGGCGAAGTTCTCGGTGTGCTGTTTTGGACCGCAATGGCGACGGGCCAAGTTTCTTCTTCTGGTTTGAAGATTGGACCAATCGCAGAGGGCCAGAGCTGTAAAGAAGAGAAAAGAAGGTTTAGTAAAATAAAAGAAACAATATTTCGATGGCTCCTACTACGTATACTGGCGTAAGTGAAAAAAATAGATTTTACAGGAGAGCCATTTAAGTAGCCAGAACCATACTGGCTACTTCCATCGATTTCAGGCAACAAAAATATTATAAAGGGGAAAGTTTTTATTGTTTGTATTGAATAGGCCCCGCATTAGAAAAAAATAACACCTAATCCTATAATAATTCTGATGAACATATGCGGTACGAAGTTCGCCTGATCTGCTAGTAACATGATACAATTGACGAAAATAATTATTTAAGTTTGTTATTAAGTAATTTTAAGTTTTTCTAAAAATTAATGCATCAAGATACAAAACGATTTCATTGAAAAAAAAAATAACATCCCAACAGCCTATATTTTTTTTAAAACCTATTTTAATGTTACGGTTAAAATAGTATTATAGAACCCAAAATTATTTAGAGAAATAATATTAGACGTTTCGCACAACGTCTGACTTAGCATTCTAGCTGCCACATGGCCTATTTCAACGAGCGTTCGAGCGTAACAGCATTATATTACTGACGCCAGTCGATCCTATGAAAATTGAAATGAAACGCGGAGAAAAAGTGAAGAGAGTGATTCAAAATTAAGTGGCTGGGTTCCGTATGAATATAATTTTATCCCCATAGAGTTAAGTTTGTCTCATTTGAGCCAATCCCTATCCCTATCCCTTTTCACTATCCCTTTTTCCCTATCACTATCCCTAATTTTTTTATTTAATAAGAAGAGTTTGTTTACTTGAACGCGCTAATTTCAGGAACTACAGGTCCTATTTGAAAAAAAAAATTGTTGGATAGCCCGTTTATCGAGGTTGTTGAAGCCACGGGCTAAAGCAAGTGAGGTACTTACTAGTTAGGTACTAGGAGTCTTTCAGTGACTTGGCCGACTTTTAGCTTGGTCCACAGGCCACGCATGGGCCAAGGTTTGAATTTTTCAATTATTTTTTCTTCCGGAAACTGGGCCTTGATAGTAGATTTTTGTTATTTTGGTGTTTAATTTATTACTATAATTAATACAATAGTTCCTGAGATTAGTAAAAGGCCAAGTCGCTGAAAGACTCCTAACCACAAGGCAAGTGTGATAAAATGAAACTATTTAGTTAATTTAATATTGATCTCTAAAATTATAATGCGTTTAGCAGAGCATGTCGCTCGTAACAGCATGTAATAGTGGGTTCATACATGCGATATGAAACCTCTCATATTCTTAAAATATAGCCATACTATATGTATATAAGTAGTATACCCGTTAAGCTAGCACCCATAACACAAGCATTAAGTTGCTTACTTTGGGGCTAGCTGGCGCTGTGTGAAATTGTCCAAAGATTTATTTAAAGATTTATGTATATGTAGCACATATAATATTACTAGCTTACAGCCCGCGGCTTCGCTCGAGTGCAATTTTGTCTGTCACAGAAAGACTTTATCGCGCGCGTCCCTGTTTCAAAAACCAGGATAAAAACTATCGTATGTCCTTTCCCGGGACTCAAACTATCTCTATACCAAATTTCATCAAAACCGGCTCAGTGGTTTAAGCGTGAAAGTAAGACATACAGACAGACAGACAGAGTTGCTTTCGCATTTATAATATAAGTATAGAAGTATAGAAGTATAGACTAGTATAAATAATATAGACTAGCGGCTGCCCGCGATTTCGCACGCGTGGATCCCGTTTTACCCCCTTAGGGATGAAGTTTCGTAAAATCCGTTCTTAGTGAGCATCCACGTTCTAAAAGGAACCCCCATGCAAAATTGCACTTGTAGTTTCTGAGATTTCGTGGTGAGTGAATGAGTCAGTCAATCAGTGACCTTTCGCTTATATGGATATAGATGATGTATTCTAGCTGCACCTGCGACTTCGTACGCGTGAAAATAGTTGAATAATATTTCCTGATCTTGCAACATTTTTACTGCTACGCTGTATGTAGGGTGATGTTATATAGGTATAGCCTAAAGATAGCACAAAAGTATTTTTTTCAAATCAGACCAGCAGTTCCTAAGATTAGTGCGTTGAAGCAAATAAACAAACTCTTCAGCTTTATAATATTAGTCTAAACTATAGAACAATCTTTTAAACATCTTTGAAATTCCAATGCCAATATTTATTTGCGCAATTTTGAGTAAGTACCTATAGTACCTATCTAAAACTAATACTCTCCTAACAAATAGAGCTTCAAAATTTTCTATAGTACCTATCTACTATAAATTAGTCACTACAAATATTTATAACTAGCGGCCGCCCGCGACTTCGTACGGCGTGGATCCCGTTTTACCCTCATAAGGGTGTAGTTTCGTAAAATCCTTTCTTAGCGGATGCCTACGTCATAACATCTACCTGCATGCCAAATTTCAGCCCGATCCGTCCGGCCAGTAGTTTGGGCTGTGCGTTGATAGATCACTATGTCAGTCAGTCAGTGACTTTTGAGTTAAAATTTATTTAGATGTTATTATGTTAATTATAATTATATAAACAATACCAACTTGAATTAATTAAGTACATCTAGGTCATTTCAGTACATTATTAAGCGAAAAGAAAATTAACGGTACCTATCTAATTCAAAAAGCCAGTGGGAAGTGTAGGTCAAATCTTCCATTTGCCTCTGGTACATTAGTGGGGACTAAAATGACCTGATGATCATTAAAGAACATGCTGTATTTATGTGAGTCTCTTCCTAGAGCACATAGCTCGTAGAGCTGATGGCCGTTGGGGCAGAAAAGTTCTCGAGTGGCGAGGCTTCCGGCGACTGGGACCGCAATTAACTGGGACCGCGGTCCCAGTCGCCGGATCCGTAAAAAATAAATAATTTTCTTCCGGCAACTGGGACCACTCATAGATAACTTAGAAAAATATATTATTCAGGCCAAAATCGGTACAGTCATACGAAAAAAAGACTGATTTTTTATTAAATCAGTATAACCAAGTTATAATTTTTTCCCCAGACACTTATTCATGAATGTACGAATATTTCAAATAATACAATGTATTTTATCTTGTCTTTCAAGCGGTAAATTTTCGTGTGACTGTACATTTTTTATTTCAGTTAGGGGAGACCTAGGAGAGTTGTGACAATTTTTACTTTAGGGGCCATATCTCGCTCAAAAAACATTCCACAGCTATGAATCATACAAATGTATGTAGCGCCGTTCCTTCTGTTTTCAAAACAATCACCAAAGTTAACTAAAGTATTAGGGTTTCTAAGAAAATCACCAAAATCTTAGACCACTCCCTCTGTCACAACTCTCCTAGCACCGAGGTAAGTTGTGACAGGTAGCGAGGTGAGTTGTGACAGCATTGTATTTCATCTATTAGATATAAAATACCATAATACTCAATCAAATATAATTTTTTAGCAAAAAAGTACTTAAATCATCCTTTAGTAACAATTAAAACAAATAGTTATAGGATGTCGTTACACAAATTGAGCCACATTTCTCCAGCTTTCATTTTTCTCCCACACTGGATTTTTTAATTATATTTTTTAGCTAATATAGTCACTTAATACATATAATATTTTCTTCCTCTTCTGTAAAAATAAAATAGTCGCGGTGGTATAATCCATAGACGGAGCTTCGCCTTCTGGGTTTACTTGATAAGTCTCTTTCTTCTTAATATATCTTGACAAGTTTAGATTGTAAGAGGTCGCAGGCAGCATATTATCTTAAACTTTAACCCTTTTTAACCTAATCACTTCATAACCTAGCTTATCAAGTGATTATTTCGACTCCAGCAAGCAGTTCCTCTATATGGCATTCATGTATAGTTATTAGGCATTCAGAATCAAAAAAGTAGCAGCAGGCAATTATACAAATTATGAACCTACTAACACACAAAAAAACATCTAAAAACATCGTGGAAATGGCCCATCAGAAAAATTAAGTAAGCTAGGAGAGTTGTGACAGGCTGTCACAACTCTCCTAGGTGTTTAAAATGACGACTTGGTTCGAATAATATTTTTTATTTTCTAAACACGTTGCGCACACAAAATATCAGTGCTACATTTTGAGACCTGAATAACCATGCAACTTGAGAAAAAATAACACAACAGTGCACATTATACTAAAACATGATATAAACTTAAATAAAATTTTGACGAAAAACTTACTTTTCGCATTTTTTTGTACACAGACGTCATATTTACGTAACCGTGCCTCTAGTGCCGCCCACAGGTACTTAGTCAAGAAGAGCGTCTTAAAAGCGACAAACAAGCGTTTTTACCAGCTTCCTAACTATATTAATTAAGGAGAAATCGTCCTTGTCACAACTCACCTCTGTCACAACTCTCCTAGGTCTCCCCTACCATTTACGAGTGGTCCCAGTTGCCGGAAGAATATTATTTAATTTTTAAGGATCCGGCGACTGGGACCGCGGTCCCAGTTAATTGCGGTCCCAGTCGCCGGAAGCCTCGAGTGGCGACCACGGGCCGGAAGACGTAGCGTGGGCAAGCCCCCCACTAGATGGACCGATCTGGTGAAGGTCGCGGGAAGAGCCTGGATGCGGGCAACGCAGGACCGGTCGTTTTGGAACACCTTGAGAGGCCTTTGTCCAGCAGTGGACGTCATTTGGCTGATGCCCGTTTTCACCATCAATCCCTAATTTTTACGTGACCCCTATGAAAACAAAATTCATATTATGTGTTGCCATAGGGGTCACTTCAAAATTAGGGATTGATGGTGAAAATGGGCATTAAACGACCTGGGGCAGATATTTTGTTTTTATTTGAGAAAAGCCATGGCAGATTGCTAGTGTATTAGTACTATCGAAACTAGGCCTAAGTAAGAATTTAATTTTAATAACAATCAGCTAAAAATGTTTTGTAATGATAACATTCGGACGACCTTTACGCCTCTCCAATTTCACTTGACCAAGTAAATAATTGTAACTATGTCAAAAAGAAATTATTTAGATGCGATTCGCGTGTATGCTTGACCGACCTAAAAAAA